CTTTCTAGTGTTAATGTTACTGAATTAAATATTATATATCGTTAATCACTATTTCTTGTAGACAAGGTAAATCCAGTTCGCCAGTGGCAAGTAAACTGTGCGGACGGATGGAGGATCATAACATCACCAGCACGTCCAACGAACTGTGGATTGAGTACATGGGCACGGATGAAACGAACGACTTTGAATTCTTCCTGGAACCTGCGAACAACGGCTGCGGTGGCGTTCTACGTGCCAACAGTCGAGAAATCGCATCGCCTAAGTAATAATTCAATAACGTAATAATAAACTACGGATTTTTATGCAAAACGAAATATTCGTGGGATCAATTAAAAAAATTCTTTAAAGCTTTTTGGTGTATATAAATAATTCTATTAAATAGTAACTTTCTGCACTGTCGTACGTTCTAATCTTTTATAAATGCATAAAATTCGTAGTTTAATGGTAAGTCGATTCAAGAATCTACAAATGTAGGATTTAATAGGTTCCCTGCACGGTATCCTAATAACGCAGAGTGTACCTGGGAAATAAACGCTGATAGCGGTTACCACATTAGTCTGAGATTCGTCGATCGTTTCAACTTAGAGACCAGCGCCAACTGCGAGAAGGATTACATACAGGTATAGAGAAGTCAATTGTAGGATTGTTTCATAGAACTATACATTCGTTCTTCGATAGAACTGTTTCAAACAAAGGGATTCAATTTCCATTTTAAAGATTTTCGACTGGACGACGCTGTCGAACGACTCCTTGGTCGAAGGGTGGAAGGAGCTGGGCAAGGTCTGTGGAAGGGACACACCGCCGGCGTTCAATTCGAGCGGCAGTAGTATGAAAGTGGTCTTCCACTCGAACGAGGCGATTCAGGGCGACGGATTCCGTGCCGTCTGGACGGAAGCCTGCGGCGGCATTTACGAAGTAACTTCGAAACACAGAAAAACCATTGTCTCGCCTAGGTATCCGAAGTACTATCCGAAAAATATATTCTGTAACTACACCCTATTGGCGCCCGAGAAGAGCATGATCATCAAGTTCATAGATTTCCAGCTTGAAACCAGTAAAAAGATTATTCAAAATATTGCTATTGAAAATAATTGCGATTATGATAATTAATGCTTGGCCGATTGCAGGTATCGAGGGGCTTCAGAAGGCCTGTCGCTATGATAACTTGACGATGAAATATATAATTAGGTACGGGGAGGACGAACAAACGTGGTGCGGAACGGACAAGCCACCTATAATAAAATCGAAGGACAGAACCGAGATCATTTTCAGAACAGATAATTTCCTCCAGCGAGCCGGTTTCGCGTTCGAGTACTTCCTAAACGGTACTTCAATTAAATTAAATTAATTATTAACTTTTTCTATGTGTCGTTACTGTTCAACAGATTGCGGCGGAACGATAACAGCCCCGACAGATATCAGCTCCTTGTCAAACGGCCAGAAATATGTGAATGGATTGCATTGCAATTGGGAAATCAAAGCGCCCGCGGATAAGAGCATCGTGCTACGCTTCGAGCTGTTCGAAATGGAATACACTCACCAGTACGTATCTCGTTTCACAATTGGAAAACAGTTAACATGACAATCGAACACTATACGTGGCAATCATCCTAGTACAAATTCATCCACGTGTGACAAACCTTTTTATTTACGTTTTGTAGATGCTATTTCGATAAAGTGTTGGTTTACGAGGGGCTGGTCGCGGAGGATTCAAAGAAGCTGGCCACACTTTGTGGAAATCTCACGCGAAATTTACCTATCATCAAATCTCGATCTAACTCTATGCTAGTCCGTTTCGAGGCGGATGAATACGGTGAATACCGCGGCATAGCAGCAAAGGTTTACAAAATTCAATGATTCGTGAATTTTAATTATGACTATTTTCTGGAGAATCGTTTATTAACAAATTCGAGGTCCCAGGTGATGTTCACTAAGAGCGAAGAGGCAGGCTGCGGTGGCAGTATTAATTTAACCGCTACTCAAAATCAATCGTTCAAGACACAAATGGGTACCACGTACGACAGTCTGGAGGACTGCCACTGGACTGTGATAACGTCACCAGGAAAGAACATCAAATTCACCATCAACAAAATGGACATTAGATACTTTATTTATTCTAACAGTACAGATAAATGCACGGGAGATTTCATCGAAGTAAATTCGAATTACTATATAAAAATTGAACAATTTTTGCTTAATTCCTTTTTTACATTTTTTATTTGTTTATGTATATTAGCTTCGTGACGGTGCTGGACCTCACGCTGAACTCATAGGAAGATACTGTGGCAATCAACCACCGATTCCTATATTCTCCAGCACGAGTGCACTTTGGATAAGATTCTTCAGCGATGGGACGGAGGAAGGAACTGGAGTCACTGGGACACTGGAAGCAGTAGATGGTAAAATAAATAAAATATCTGTAAATAAATAAATATAATAATACGTTCCATTCGTTGTAGGAATGTGCGGGTTTGCACCGGCAGTAATAAATAATACGAAGCAGGTGCTGACTTCACCGAATTATCCTAACAATTACGAAGTAGGCTCGAGGTGCCGTTGGTTGTTAAGAGCCGAAGGATTATACGTCGATAGACTGCACATACGTTTCTTGGACTTCGATCTGACTAACTCGAAATTGTGCGAGGACGATTACGTTCAAATCAGAGACACGTCGGTAAGGTTTATATTATAAACAATCTTAACACTAGATTGCCCAAGGAAGTCATTTTGACTGCTTTTGGGCAAATGTACAAATAATAATGCATAAATTATTTTTTATCCCTAGCGAAGTAAATTTTTTTTATTGTTAACATTTACTAATAACTTGTTATATGACTGTAAATAATATAAAAAATATTAAAAATTAATTTTAAACAAATTTCTTTACACATTATTCTTTCACAATGCAGTCATTTTGACTGCTTTGGGCAATATAGGTATATACTAAGTTTCAGTCTTTCTAGTGTTAATCATCATTTAATTGTTGAAAATGTACACAGAATCGACAGATCATCGAGGAAGGTTTTGGCGAGAATTTCATTTGGTCCGAAGACGACAACAGGCAAATCGTAAGACTAATTCAATTATATACAAATCTTCTAGCTATGAATAATCATAATCTGATGATCTATACAGAATGATTTTCAACCGATGGCGACGTACAAATACTGCGGCGACAAACTGCCTCATGATTACTACAGGTTTGATTATTTCCAGATTTTCTTCACATTAAATATTTCTGATGATGATTGAATCATAGAATCGCATCTATAAAATTTGTTTATCCTTTTGTCATACAGTTACAGTACCGAGATCGAAGTGATGTTTAAAAGCGACATAGGCAGACATAAGGGTTTCAAGTTGGAATACGGTACTTCGACCTGCGATCGGAACTTCACCGCGGAAACGGGTCGGATCATCCACGACAGCATCGAGGATTGCTGGATCACGATCACGGCCCCTCCTAACCACACGATCTCTCTGTACTTCAACCAAATAATAATCTACGACGCGGACGAGTGCACAAGTTCTGCGTTGCAGGCAAGCCTTTCTTCAAGTCAATTATTAGGTAAAGTAAAAAGTTCTGAGCCTTTTTCGTTACATGACTTTAGTGAGCCATATCTTACGATGTATACGTTGTATCTTCTCATTCTATACGGCAAATTAAAGGCGACATAACGCCTTAAAAAAAGTCTTGTGACAATTTTTTGATGAGTGAATCCAGTTGTGTGTTAGTGCGTTCCAAAGTGGAGGTAAAAACGAGAAAATTCGATACATTATTCAGTACCACTACGACCAAGGGGAAAAAGCGATGCAGGCGGCCAAAAAATTTGTGCTGTTTATGAACCCAATACAGTATCGAATGCAATAGCAAAGCGGTGGTTCCAACGTTTCCGTTCTGGTAATATGGACGTCGAAGATGAGACACGCTCTGGTAGGCCAATCGTCGAAAACGTTGATAAAATCATGGAAATCGTCGAGTCAGACCGGCATGCGAGCACTTATTTTATTGCCCAGGAACTGAAGATTAGCCAGAAAACCGTTTGGAACCATTTGCATAAGGCTGGTCTCAAGAAGTCAATTTCATCGTCGAAATAAAGACAAAAAAGGCTCAGAACTTTTTACTTCACCTAATATTTCTACTTGCAATTGATTGACACGTTCATAAAATGAAATTGTGTGATACACAGGTGTTCGATGGCGATTTTAATGGAAAACTGATGGCATCGTTGTGCAACGTGGGTGTTCCGAGTCCCTTATTTAGTACGGGAAACAAGGTGAGCTTGCATTCTTGGACCCAGTGGCATAACACGTACGAGTACTACGACATCACGTATACAACCACGGATCAAGGTAATTAATATTACTTTATGATATCACAGTCTTAGTGTTATATTCGCAGTCGCGCTAGACCTGATAGAAAATAGATAAGAATTTTTGTTGATAAAGCAAATAACGTAATCGAGTGCGTCGCAGGAAACTGCTTGTTGAAGATAAAACATATTAAACAGAGCTGAACGGTTTTATGCGTTAATAGGTCGCGGCTGCGGTGGTCGAATATTTAATTACGGGGGATCGTTCTCATCGCCGATGTATCCGAACGAGTATCGGAATGACACGAATTGCATCTGGGAAATCAGCGTGCCGGTTGGCTTAAAAGTCACCCTCACGTTCACGGTGTTTGACATAGGCACAAAAAGCACTTGCAATTATTCGTACAACTTAGTTGGAATCTATAATTACGATTCGAATGGAGAGCTGCAGCTAGCCCATCTTTATTGCGGAGGGGTAATATGATCGATAATAAAATTGTTAGAGGTGATAACGATTTCTTAATTTGAAGATTTTTTATTTTATTTTTATAGGACGAACCGGCACCGTTCGAGGCTACCGGCAATCGAATAAGAGTGACGTACGCTTCATCTGTGAACAACGTCGGCACCGGGTGGACTGCTATTTTCAACAGCAAGAGTGATTAGAAACGGATTTCGATTTTACAAAAATATTTATTCTTCACGTCTGTATGTACATTTGAAGTCTCGCAATGCGACGCATTCGCGCGATCACATTTATGGAACATTATTTGTAAATAAGACAATGCTCGCGCGACTCGATGTAGATATAGAGATAAAGTAAATGAGATTTAATATAACGTGGGGTGTTCTGATTGGCCGATGGATCATCGCCGAGATACGGGAAACGTCGAGTACCGCCTGGCCTAAGTTAATGTCGACGACTTTCTGTATGTTCGAGTATGATTTAAAACTTGAATAACGAAGTAAACTTTAGAATATGATTGAACTAATCAAGCTTATTGGGGTTCAACTTCCTCACTCTCATCGCTTTCCACGCTTTCCTCGTTTTTCGGAACGGGGCAGCTGATCGCTTTCCCGTTCGCAGTTTGCACTGCAGCCTCTTCCTTCTCGATAGGCGCGTCATCGACATCCTGTGCAACTTCCGGTTCAATTTTTTCCACCTCCACCTGTCGCTTCTTCCTACTCTTCTCGGCCTTCTTGTCCTTCTTCGACTCCTTCACTTCCACTGGCTTCTCCACTTCCTCCGCACTAGCTCCCTTCTTTCTCTTCTGCAGTTTCTCTTTCTTTTCCTTCTTTACCTCTTTGGACTTGACAGTATCCTGTTTCTTTTCACCCTCTTCGCTTCGTTCCTCGACTTTCCTGCCCTTAAGTTTCTTGTCCTTCAGCTTCCTCGAGCTCTTCTGCCGAACCTCCTCAGACCCCGCGGCGACTTTGCTACTCTTCTTAGACTTGTCCTTCGGAGATTCACTCTTCTTCGGGTCTACATTCTCCCGTTGCCTCAACTTCTTGGTCTTCGGCTTACCCGACTCTTCTTTTTGAGCTACGTTCTCGGATGGAACTTCGACCTTCTCTTCTTCGCTGTTTTTCCTCTTTCTAGGCTGCAGTTTCTTGCCTTCTCCATCTTCCTTCCTCGCTCCCCTGAAACAAAACCGTGCATCGTTCCATGCAATTCGTCGCGAACTCCGTCGACCGCGATAAGATTCGAGTGCAAAAAGATTTGCACAATCTATATATGAACATAACGTATCATCCGATTGAACTCACTTCGAATAAGCCACGTCCCTCTTCTTTTTTTCATAGCCGTTCTTCGACTTAACTTGCTTCCCAGGGCTGTCGGCGAACGCCTCCGATACGAGCACCGTGACGAGCAGGAAAAGAGTTAACAATACCCAGAGCCTGGACCGAAACGAAAATTAGAAGCGAATCGAAAAGGAGGCCTGCGTATCGCGGAAACGAAAATATTTGCCTCACCGCATGTCTGCCTTCACAAATCTCTCTCTCTTTCTTTGGAATTGATATATTTATATCTACTGCGTCTGGAGATCGCGCACGATCGAAAGCCAAGACTCGGAGAACACTGACTGTTCTCGCCGGTCCCCCTTACTTATATCTTGTACGCGACTCCGTTTCATATCTCGATTAACGCGCGTGGCTTTCGCGCAGTTCGCTCTCCCGTACAATGATACAGAACTCGATATCCGCGAGCAATATCGATCACCAATACCGCGACGTGGTTATTCAGTGCGACGCGCAAAGTTCGAAGTTCGACCGTTTGAACTCTCGCGACGCGACATGTGTTCTTGACCTGGAAGTTGTAGCCGGTTCCCTAAATAGAGAGGCGATCACCTCCCACGCGCTCCAGTATTTCTGGCATTTTTCTGATTCCCCCTATTCACTTTCTGTCATCAAGGCGTATAAAATATTTTCTCCGTTCACTTTACACATTCACAAATAATTAAGGATGTATTGGCTGTATAGTCAATCCCAAAAGTTTATGCACTTTAGAAACGCATTTTTTAAAAAGAAATCGGACGTCGGAAGAACATTACTAATAATAAACAGCAAAAAAAAATTTTCGATTTTTCCGAGATTTTTCCAAGGGATACCCCTTCAATTTCTTCCAAATTTTCGTTTTCTGCCAATAACTTCCAAACCGTTGAACTTACGGGAAAATTGCATNGAATATTTCCTTCTATATTTTTTAGCACGTAGCTATTTATTATTAGCATTGTTCTTCCGACGTCTGATTTCTTTTTAAGTATAGGAAATGCGTTTTTCTAAGGTACATAAACTTTTGGGATTGACTGTATAGCCAATACATTCTTAAGTAATTCCGTTATCTTAAATCGATTCAAGATTGCGCGTGGAAATTGTCTATTTTTTATTTCTAATGCGTTTTAAATGTGATTGCACGGAACTAGCCGATGTTTTGATTTTCATCATTGAGTAACGCAATATAGTTGAATGAAATTGCAACGCATTTTATCATCAATTTCGTCGAGAAACGGAACAACGTTTCGTATGCACCAATTTAATATATATTTCATCATTATATTGTTATTATAGAAATTATTCAGGTCTGTTCGTATCTAATCTTTGTACGTCACACGGTCGGCCACTTAATGAATGTATCACAAACAAGTGTTGATTTCAGCCAGGTAATTTCGAGAATTGCGCCCCGTGAATTATTCCCGCGACGATGAATCGTAGATCGATCTCGGGGATTCCGCTTAGCTTTGAATAACTGCTGATTGCACGATTACTCTCCCGTTACTGACACGGCGTAAATAAATTTCGGACTGGATCGATGGAATTGGTTTTTCTCGGAGTAACTGAATTACCTACGATTCCATTGCTTGTTAAATGATATTTCTGGGAAATCCGACGCGGGAGGCGTGGGAGTAACCGGATATTATTTTTGAGAGCACGAGTCATCAAGAGCAAGCGTTCGGCTTAAGAGAATCGTTTCAAGATTGCAACATAAGATCCCAGCTTAGTATTCTCATAATAAATAAATTCTGAATTTTACGTATTTACAAGAAAAACAGAATTCTTAAATGATTAACGAAATTTCTATCCAAATTGTATTTCCTAATGGATACCATAAAAGTTTTATTGGCCTACTATTTTTCTCCAAATATAAACTGTTTTACACCTTGGAATGCGATTGTTTTTCCTTGCATCTTTTGCAGATTTTACGAGCCATAAATCTTGCTCGTTGTTCTATTAGCGTTAGTTATCTGAGCGAGTTGTTTTCCATGCGGTATCTATTCCCGATGAAATTGTCTCGCTAAAAGTACACCTTAAGCAGATATAGCTTACTTTTATCGCGTCCCCCGGGTCGTTCGCATGTCCTTATCAATCGAATAAAAGAAAAGTGCGTTCACCTTGAAGTCACCTGGCGTCATTCTTACTGATTAACTTATCATTCGATCGTATCTGGACAAGGCATGATGCAACTGGTTATCGATATTGACTGGTTCGACGATAACGTCGACGTAAAACAGAATTAATCATTATTCAGAAGAATAGGTGTTTCGCAATCATTGAACACAGTGTCTTAATGAAATTATATATAATCGTATATTTGTTTGTTCTTTTTTTCTATTTTCTTATTATATATTATATACTCGTATCAATGCCATGGGTCTGCTGACGTGTTCGATTACAAAAACTATCGTTTCAAAAACACTCGAGTTCACCAATGTTCCTTTTTTTTACAAATTTTTTGATTTTTAATTACACGAATGGCACACGTAGACTAAATAAATCTTACGTACATTTTTCTTCATTTGCGCTTGATTCAAATCATTCGCTCCCTACACTTGCTAAGTAACCACGTGTGATTAAGGTGCTTAAAAATAACGGACAAACGAGAAAGTTAAAAATTATATATCTAAAATTACGTCCGTAGAAAAATAATTAAAATTACAATACTTGCGAAAAATCACCTCCTAACGTTCTGTTGCGCTATACGAATGGAATCATAAAGAGCTGTGGAAAAAATACCATCAGAAAGCATAGAATGTCTTTCGGGATGTTTTCTTTTCATTGTATACTTATTTCACCTTTTCTAACAAAACGTGACTAGTAAGTATATTTCATAGTAAGTAGTAATAATATTAATAATAATTTGTCGTAGAAGATAAGTACTAGATAAGTATATTGCGTCCGTTTGATGTTTCGTGAATTTACAGTTCGATAAAAATTAGAAAACTTTTGCTGTTGCAAGGCATCGAATAGTAGTATGTAGTATATTACTTTTATATATATATAATTTCTTTGCTTCTCTCTCTTGTTTCATTGTATAAACTTGTACTATCTCTATCTTTACGGTGTATTAAACGTTCAACGTTTCAATAATGTCTAAGTACAATCATATGCAATCTTTACAAATGTCTCCGCCCTCGCTTCTTTTTTTACTATATCTAACAAAAAGATTAATGAAATATCACCGGCGAAGTTGTAGGAGCGAGACTGTTTGTCACGATGTCCTCTCAATTACGGATGGATGATCCGATGAACGTGGAATAATATTTTTTTTAAAACAAAACTAGGACAAAAAATCCGTCATTCTCATTAATTAAATCCGCTATCAAATTAGAAAAATATTCGAGCAACAGGTTTCAGGAATCCGGTTCATCAGTTTTCTGGAAAAATATCAGATCTTCGTTAAAGTTCTGATGAGAAACTCGTTCAATTTTTGAAAAATTCCTTTCGCGAGATCCATTTCCATCGGTGAATAAAAATCACAGAGGAGATACAAGCGAACGATCGTAATTATCGTCGCGTTTGTGCATTCTACCCTCGATACAACTTACCGTGAAGTCAAATGCGAAACAAGGGCGAATAGAGAATTGCGCTTTACTCGAGACTTAATTATCAATAGAAAATATTCTTTGAAACCCTAAAACATGTGTGAGTTTTACCCTGACTGCTATGATCATCTCTCCCTCGTCACGGGCCCAATTATTTACATATAGATACAGACATGTTACGAAAAAAATAGAGATTTCCCGCGTACGTGTACGAGCGTGTATATAATATAATCTTAGTCTCGTCGAGATCCAGGGAGAAGTATGAGACGTTGGAGCGCCGCTCACGTCTGACCTTTTTTTTTACAGTCAAGGAACGAGCACTTGTTACGCCTCCTCAAAAGTGTCAGAACGGGACTTCCCGTTTTTCTCAGGAACCTCGTTCAATGGTTGCGAGTCCTCTTGAGCCGATTGCGGATATTTTTGATCGGGGTAGTTCCACGGCTGGATATCGCCTGTGCCGCAGATCTGATAGACGATGTAAGTGGCGCAGGCGACGCACGCGGCCACCCCGAACACTTGCCTCCACGAATCGAGGGCTTGCTAGAATATTAATTTTCTTCATTACGAATTAGAATTCACTCGAAGAATCGTACATTAAAATTTGTACTCACGCTGTTCTGAGTGAGGAGGCCTGCTACGACCGGAGATAAGAAGCTTGCTGTCATGTGAATTGTCTGTGCGAACGCCAATATTGGACCTGGAATTAACGAAGTTCAATTTAAAAATGATATTCCAAGAATGATTAATAATCGAATTATTATACTTGCCTGCAAAGTTTGGCGCGATGTCGACGATATTCGCCATCGCCCCCGCATAGGCAGCTGTGATTAGAGTAACGGCTATGAACCACACTACTAGAACCAGGACAATGTCACAGCCCAGATAGCCGATCAATACTAACATTATTCCAGGAACTACTTGTGCTGCAAATCAAAAATACCCATCACGTTATACCTATAATTTTATATATTATGTATTTGACGATCTAAAGTCAAGTGAATACTTACAAGAGGCAGTGAACACCTTGCGAACATTCGTCAGCGACATTATCTGCCGCGTAACTAGAACATCAGCCACGTAACAAAAGGCAACGGAGCTGAAGTAACTACAGATGAATGGTAAACCGGACAGGAGTCCATTCTGAAATAGAATTCAAAATTTAAAAAAACATATTCGACAAAGATAAAAATATTTAAACTACGTACCGCTTGGATGCTGAATCCTAGAATAGTTTTCATGTACATTGGTCCGGAAATAATGAAGACGTAGTGCACCCATATTCTCCCAAACGTGGTGATTCCGATCGACCATGCTGGCCAAGATCTGAGGATGGAACCCCACGGGACCGGCATGGTCTTCGTAACAAGAAGATTCAGTGACTCTCGGGAAACAAAAAAAAAATGTTTCAAGCTTCTTTGAAAAAGAATTTACCTCGTTGGAATGGACTTGGTCAACAACGCTGCCTTGGATGTATCGTAGCTCCTGCTGGGATATTCTCGGATGCGTAGCAGGCGTGTCGAAGGCGAAGAAGTACCAGAAGAGGCACCAGAAGCAGCCGATGCTGCCGGTGGTATAGAAAACCGCTCGCCAACCGAAGTGGGCGATGATGAACCCGCAGAGTGGGTAGGTGATCCCGATGCCGAAGCTGAACCCTGTGTATAGATAATCTAGATGTTAGGAGGTAGCTCACCCCACGAACCCCGGATGGAAGCTGAAACATGATGGTTGCTCGAATGGGCTTCGCCTTGGCTCGTGTACGATTCATGTGTGGGGGCGACGATCGCTCTTCAGCGGTGCCGTATATTTCACCCTGTAAAGCGATTCAAGTAGAGACTTAGTACGATGAGATGAGGGTGAAATCGCTATGACGGTATGGCTGGCTAGAGTGAGATAAAAGAAACACTTGAAAATCGTCCGTTCAACATCGCTAAGTCTATCTCACTGGATTTCAGTCATCTGTTTATTAACATCCATCAAAAGAGATTTCTCTCGTGCATTTGAAATCCAGTTTAGTTTATTTACAAAGTACAGCGTTTTGTAATGAGTTACATGAACTACCATGCCTCTGTGGCTCGAGACGCGTGCGTCGGTAAGATTCAAGTGAACGCTACACGCACCAAGGCTAGCCCGCGAAAAGCAAGACAAAAAAAAGGAGAACGATGGAAACGTGGATATGTATATCGTATTGGTCTTCACAAGAGTTCGCCGTTGGACTGACATAAAATAGAAATGTTTAACGTTTTACACGGAACGTGTCGGCGTGGAGCCCGGCTGATTCTACCAGCTGGAAGTATACTCTGGCCTTTCTCATGCTGTTGAGCGGTCGCTGTTGAGTATACCCCTCGGTCCGGCGAATGCAACCACGTGGAGCTTAAAAGGCAATCAGAGAACAAATATACGGTCCCGTTCGGATAGAAAAATCGACTGACGCGCGTCAGCGAGTTTACCGTATCCCTGCATCGATTTACCGCGAGTTTTTACTGAAAACAAAAACGTATGCTCGATCTGAAAGAAGCCACATTAGTAAATAGTCAACAATCATTGAAACCAAAACTGAAACGGATTTCTCTATCGTAGCGTTCTGCGCACCTATCAATGCATCGCTATAATGCACAAAGAAAGAAAGGGTAATTAGCAGCCGGTGAACGCTCACCTTGGAACGAGGACATGAAACGAGACCTTTCCACCGGCGGAATCCAGTGTCCGACTATCGCGTACATCGCGGGCCACGTCAGTCCCTATAATTAGTTGTTAACAATATAAAATAAATTTACAATAATTCTAATAATTAAAGTGTCTAAATATCAATTGAAATACTGTCGTCTAAATTTAGAAATACCGATATTAGATATACAAAAAGTTACTTAAAAAGTCAGCAGTAAAATAAAAGAAACAATTTTTAAATTGAAGATTCATTTTATATTTTATATTTTATATTTTATATTTTAAATTTCATTTTATATTTTAAAAAATTGGAAATAATTTCGAGATGACAATATAAGGTGAACGAATTCATATACAAATATGCTGGTCCAACTGATTTATATATGTCGAAGGGAGACTTACACTAGCAACGCCTTGTATACTGCGCAAAGCTATCATGAATCCATAGTGAATCCCAGCAGCGGAGGGCATCAGCAAGCTGCAGATCGCAGTGATCAATTGAGAGCCACCGAAAACTGCTTTCGTGCCAAAGTACTGCGTGAGCACACCACCGACCACTTGTGACAGTATATAACACCAATAAAAGGAGCCGCTGATGATTGACTGTATCGCCGGGCTCCAGTCGAACTCCCCCTGATCCTGACCAAGTAAATTGCACAAGATTCTCTTATCAACATTCCCCTGATTCTTCGAAAGAAATTGCAATCATCGTGGCACTCTCATGAAATCTTCAATCACAATTGCATAAGCGCTCTTTTTTGCATTAAACCAACGATTTGCAATTATCTTGGTATTTATGCACATTACGGATCGCTGTTTTTCAACATTGTTATTATATAACGAAAATACCTGATTTCCTGCTCCAGTCTCTACCGTTCCGTGATTTTATTTATTTTTTTTATAAGCGCCGAGGCAATTGTTAAGCATTAATAAGATCTCGCAATGTCACATGCTTTGAGGACACGTGACGTTACGTGCACGACGATTCTTAACTCTCGGTTATGTTCCGTAATCGATGCGATCTGCGTAACATAATCGCTAGTGTTACGAGCATCGCATAAATTACATTATTATACAAATTCAACCGATACCAAACGTATCAAATAATTATTTTATATGAAACTTTTTATACTTGTTCAATTAATATTCTCTCGCCTCTTTTTTTATGATTTAGTTACTTAGCTATGATTTCCTCTACTATAATCTATCGATTAAAATAGTCTAATTAATAATTTGGTATGTTGGTCAGATTTGTTGGTCTTGAAGTATTAACAGGCGTGTATATTTTAATTGAGTCTTAATAATGACTTTACCTCAAGTCTGATCATCGAGCTGTTGCTGGTCAATGACGCGTTCGGCGTTACGTAACAATATTCGGACGTCGTGGTAACATTGGTGTCCTGGTTGGCTGGCGATGGCTTGACCATTGCCACCATGGCGATGTTTATGTCGTTCCTCATCATGAACGATACCGTGAACCCCGAAAACGACAGCATGTAGAGCACCACCCGAGCCGGGATCATGTCTGAAAATCCGAATCATGCTCGTGACCGATGCACCTTCGCATATACAGCAGAGAACAATAATGAACCATACACTTTGTATGCAATTTTTGACAATTTTTCTTAAGGGATTTCATTCTTTGGATATAATTTATATATGTTTTATTAGACTGGTTCGTTTTTGCTCGAGACTGTATACTTTCTGATCACTGGTTCTCCTCAAAACATCTATTGCGAGATTGTCTCTTTAAACGATTTGATAGTTTGAAGAGTCGATTACCTCCCAGTTTTCGCAGGCTGCAGGGTGATCGTGTCTTATATATGGTATGATCTTCGTATCTGCGTAATAGATACAATTGACATATTTATATTGAAACCAAGGTTTGAATTCGAATGAACGCAACAGGTAAATGAAGACGAGCTGATCACCTATTAGACACATTCTCATTTATTCTCTCATCTTATTAAACACTGTAAAATTGTGATATCAATCAAGCGAAAGTCAAAAGTATATCACAGCAATAATATTCAATTATCTTGGATTAAGAAATTATCAGTTGGAGTGTCTGATACGTGATATCCTAATCTACTTATTCTTCCATCCTAAATTATCTATGAATGATACAATATTAATTTGATGCATATGACATCATTTTCTTATATAATAAGACCTGATTGAATATATCACAATTATTGAAAACAAATGACATGTGTACATATTCTGAAAGAGATAGCTTCAGTCATGTTTGGAAAAAAGATTGGTTACGATTCGTTAATTTTTATCAGTTTTGTACGCCTTAGAATATGGTGGCAAATGAAGTGCAATATAGGCATTTAATGCTTTTCTTTTTCCGAATGGGCAAAAATGCCACACAAGCGGCAAATAAGATATGCGCTGTTTATGGCGAGGATGCTGTAGCCGAAAGAACTGTGCGAAAGTGGTTTGCTCGGTTTAAAGCTGGAAATTCCGACCTGGAAGATCAAGAACGCCCAGGTAGGCCGTCCACCACAGACGAAGATATGATTAGAACAGAAATCGAGAACAACCCACGCTCGACATTACGTTAATTAGCACGAATGCTAAATCAATCAAAATCAACCATACACGATATTTAAATGAGTTGCGTTTTAATTGTCCTAAAATATCGGCACGAACTTTCCGGACAACCCAATATATACAAACTGCTGTCAGTTTTTCCGAACAAGGAATTTATATTTTGTTGAATTTATAAGATTGTTTTCTCCTGTTACCTCTGTGTGTCCACCATGATGTCGGATGATTCTCTTCACCGAAAAGTAAACCTCCGTTGCGGATCACCTGCGATCAAAAACATTGCGTGAGATCGCAGCATCGTCGAAGAGAAATCGAAGATCAATGCTTCCGTAAATCATTTCTTAATCGGATTACGTATCGCGTCTAGACGAGAAGAATGATGGATGCAGACCGTTGTCACATTAACAGAAATGGATGTGGCATCGCCGGGCGACCTTTAAATCGCTTCGACGATTTAGCTATTAAACTTATCATAGCTATATCATCATACCCATTATCCCCGTCCGCTGCAAGTTGCAATACGTAACCAATTCCAAGTATGAAAAGTTTTTCGCACTTTTGTCGCGATTTCACGCAACGAATCCTAGCCGCATTTTTATGTAACTCCCTGCACGTATCAACATCTGTTTTTTTCCCTCTCGTTCGCACAATTACACATAATTTACGTTAATAATAGCAGTTGCATAGCTCTAATTAACTCGTAACACTCTAAAGGAATATTTTGATAGCATTTCTGAAGCCACAAATAAATTTACGGATCTTTTAATTAATTCTATTCGGTTGGCGTGTTGCGCCGGGTTTCCTCGACCCATTTCCATCACATGTTTTCGCTAGGGGAATCGATGAAGATCCAGAATTTAATAGCGTGACCTGCGCGGGGGCGCGATGAAATTCCGACACGAAACTCATATTACGCGGCATTCGACGAACGCGTATCGGAGAGGCCGCGGAACGGTCGAATATTTCCACTCTACTAAGGAAGAAACTGCATAACGTTTTCCACAAATTGAAATCTGATAACAGAAGAACACGTGAATCCCACGCGGTTTTTTACACAAGCGAGTTTAATTAAGATCGTTAACGTGAATTCTAAATTATATATCAGACCGCATAATTTATCAACACAACGAATTGATGATGATAAACGATTAAATCGGTTATTTAATCATTAACAATCACATTTATTAATCATAAACCCTCTATTACAATTTAAATATGTTTCTGTTTTTTATTAGTAAACTTATCCGTAAGTTACGATACGTATTTGTTCTGTCATGTATACATATAGGAAATGAGGGCATGTAGATACGCAACGAAAAGATAAAACAGTTTAATAAAAAAAATTGCAAGACACGGTGAATAAATGAATAAATATTGATTTTATACAATTAATTAATGACTAAAGTTTTTCGCCACATTAGATGACTCATTCAGCGAATGCACTTGCGAAAATGTATATTTTGCTGAGTTAACAAAATGCTTGACGTTCGGCGTCGTTAGTCACAATGCATATCGATTCTGATGCAAATTTCTCGCCGGAAATTACGCGTATAACGCGACGCCGTTTTTCCTGTTTTACAGGACAGTTTCCTAAAACTTCGATTATACACGCGTAGATTCGTACAAGCATTGCATAATCGCATTAATTCCTCGTTACACGTTCCATTTCAATCGTAAGCCTGCGACGACTGTCCCGCAGGGCGACAAAGTTTGATCTTATAATTAACCAAGATCGATTGTGTTAACGTTTCTAGTTTCCACGTGGCGAACAATCGAGGCAGTTACTGGAAGTCCGCCGGAGGTCTCAATTTACATACGGACGCATTGTTTTTAATATGTATTACATTATATAATATAGTTAATATGTGTAAATAGTCATTCTATATCGCATTATTTTTGTAATTTTCGTAATTATTCTGATGCTGATAGAAACGGTTTATCTAACTGAACCATTTGAGTAAACGGTTCTTACTAATACTGTTATATCATGCTACGGACAATGTCATACAATCGTCGTTCACAATATAATGAACCGTCTTCAAAGACTTATGACGAGGCTCTAATTATAATCAAGTCAAGACTTAATTCCCGGGAATGCTTGAACTCGCGTAATACGTCCAGCAGAAAGTGGAACGATGATACAGCAAAGAATTGTGTAGATGAGTGCAATGTTACTGCGAGAAGCGTCTTTCTATTAACACTAGATTGCCCAAGGAAGTAATTTTGACTGCTTTTGGGCAAATGTACAAATAATAATACA